TACATTAAAACGTATTTGTGTTAAAAACGAAGACGGTGTGCAAATTGATTAAAATATTGGCATATATTTAAATATTAAATCCAAAGTACAATTTAGCTACTAAATTTAAATTATCTGTTAACTTAGATTCGGACTATTCGAAATTCTAATAGGTAACACAGGGAATTTATTTATATCTGGTTTAAATTTTTAACTACAGAAGGACTTTCCTTCTTAAAAATAAAATTTATTTGTCCAATTAAATTTCAAACTCTGAAAAATTCTGAAACACATTTCAAAAGAGGCCTTCACTTATTTGTTTAGAATACCTCATAAAAATAGTAAACAGTTTTTTTGGTTATTACCATTTTTGATAATTCCATTACAACTACTTAGTATTCAAGCAATTAACTGAAATACTGCCATTATGATTTATAAATATCATTTTTGATTAATGCAATCAATTGGTATCATGATATAGGATATAAGCTAAACATGAAAGAAAGATGAAAGAAGCTTTCTACATGTACATCCACCTAACTGATAACATTCTTTTAACTTAGTGTGGTAGTATGAGTTGTTAAAAATGGCCTCACTATAATAGCAAGTACTAGTGGGTTAATTAACTCAGTGAATAGAGCACTCGCCAAGTGTGCAAAAGTCCTCAGGTTCAAATAAGAGCCAAGGAAATGTAAAAAAAAGGGAGGTTACAACAGAAGTTTACATTTTCTTAAATCAAAATGTATTTCCAATAATACTCACCTCTTCTCACAGCTATTACTTGACTGCTAGGGTTTCTTTCTTTTGCCCATCTAATCATTGGTTTGATCTTTTTCTCCCTTGCTCCATTCTTTTATTCCCCACTTAATTGCCCTTTGCAATATCTGTCTCGTGACACTCTCCACCTACGTCAATGCACCCTCTATCTCAGTACTGTATATAAGCACCTACTTCAGAGAACAATGTCATTTTTTCAAGACTGACCCAATACACAGTCTCTAACACCAGCTCTTAGTGGGGAGGAAGAATGGAAAAGTGTGAGAAGAGGTATTATTGGAAATACATCTTCAATTTTAGAAAATGTTAACTTTCAAAACATACTTACCTCTTCTCGAGTTACAGCTAGAATCCCACACTGATAAGGTGGAGGGGGCATTATCTATACAGAATGCGTCTGCATTGATCATGGTTGTGCCAGTAAAAGGTTAGCACCCTTGTGAGTGAACCGCACAAAATCCAGAACAGGTATGCTCTTTGCCCAGAACCTAAATCATGCACTGTGGGTGGAGTTTGACATGATCCATCATTACCATTGGCCAGGTCTGCCTCTAGGTGGTCTTATGGAATAACTCATTTCTACAGACCCTGTTGCAACCTAGATAAAGTATATTGTGTTAGTGGTTGCTTGTAAGGATTTAATTTGACAAAAGCACATCTGACTGGTCAACACCCGCCACAGAGTGGGATCCTGTGGAAAAGATGTAAAGAACCCTGGAAAGAAATGAAGAAGTGAAATTAGTAATGGAAATATTCATCCCTCGTCATAATCTAGCTACAGGGAGTAGTCGAAAACCCCCAGAGGAAAAAACTGCCAGATCATGCAAATAATGTAAGATAAAATTATTCGGAGATGTCCACATACTAGTCTGCATAATGTCCTCAGGCTGGCAATTCAACTGGGCTGCTAAGGGCCTAAAAATGTGACAAATCTAATGAGACATGACTTGCAGAAGTCTCCTCACCTCCAAACAGAGCCCAGAATAAGTAATACAGGTAAATTTTCATACTCAACCCGGCAAGGTAACCGGGGATAAATCCTGGGAAAGTGGAGGGTCACAATGAATAAAAAGCCATTGCCTAGCACCTCTAAAAGCCTTAGTGTGGGCAACAAAACATTTCAAGGCTCTCATTGAACATAACAGTCATAGAGGTGAGCAATAGTGGTCAGAGTAATTGGTGAAAAGGATTTATCCTTCTCTGGCTGCCAATGTCTGAGGTAAGAAGGACCTACCTAAGTATAGAAGGATGTAGGTAGACTGATAAAGTGCAAACAACTCTGACCAGCAACGTCTGCAGGCCAGCAGCAACACAAAATAAACCTTAATGGAAAGGTGATATATATAACATGAGGCTAAGGGCTCAAACAGATTTTGAAAAAGAGCATGAAACAGAACCTTTATATCCAGTTAGGTAACTGAAATGGTCATTTGGGATGAAGGACCCAAAGCAACTTGAGGAGGCCAGAGAGCACTGGGGACTCAAAGAATCCGTCTCTTCGAGTATCTAAAGGTAGCCGATAAGGCCACTTTATATAGGGCGATTGTGGAAGATGCAAAATCCTTGTCAAAGAGCCAGGTCAAATACCAAGCTATGATTGGCATGTCCAGACAAAGTGGGTTCAACCTCCTTGCAATACACCATTGTTGATATGCGTGCCATTTCTGTTGATAAATGTCTATCGTGGGATGATGCAGAGACTAAGATAAGTACATGGCAACCTTAGAAGTTAAAACTCCGTAGCTGTGCAAAGGACTGCATAACCTCCACACATGAAGCTTGAGCTTTGGAATGGACAGGTGTAAGATGTTGGATCATGGCTGTTTCAACAGAAATAGTCAAAGAGGAATTGGAAGAGGTGGGCACTCCTGAAGGTACATCAGAAGCAGAAACCAGGGATGAGCTGGCCAATCCAGTGCTACCATTAGTATGTGATCAGGGGTTGAATGTATCATTGCTGGGACTCTGGGTAACAAACAAATATTTGGGTAGGCATATAGTGCAATCCAGTCTAGTACTAACTGAAAGCAACTATTGCCAATGCCTGAGGGTGAAGTACCAGAGACAAAAATGCCAGTAGTTGAATAGTCCAATGAGTGGCAAACGTATTAATAACCGGTGTCCCAAACCAAGAGCAAATCCAATGGAAAAACCCTCGATGATGCATCCATTCTGTCGGGAGAATCTAGTCGGGTTGAGACAGTTGATCCACCACCGAATTCATCAATGATGGAAGTGGGACCAATACAGAAGATCCAAGGTTCGAAAACAAAGAGATCTGGATCGATTGCCCCCTTGACGAGAAATGTAATACACCACTGTAAAATTGTTGGAGTGAAGCATGACAACTTTGCCCATCTATAATTCTAAACCTTGAGATATTGCCCTTTCAACAGCAAGAAGTTTCAAAACATTGATGTGGAAGGAAGCTTCATCATCCATTCATTCATCATCTCATTGTGATTTTGATGCTCTATTGGTTTGTTCGAATGTATTAAAATAATAAAAAATTGATGTGTTCAGATTTTATGTATGTAATAACTATAAGATTTGGATTTTATTGCATTAGTTAAAATGGTTACAATAAAAGTTTTCAAATTATCTGAATACTCAAATACTTCTAGAAGTGTTCAGCAATAATTTTTTATAGGCTAAATCTAAATAATACAAGTTGACTAGGCTAAATATAAAAGTTTTACCATGAAATCATTTAGTAGCAAGAATCTCCAAATAATGAATCACAACAATCTCATCACACGGGAAGTTGTGTTTATTTATAAATTCATATTTTCATTATATAACATTTAAATGAAATATTTGTTTCTAAGTTGTGACCAATTAAGTACACCTAGATATCTACAACTGGAAATAGCTCTAGATTTTATTTGGATTTTTTCACCTTCTTGTTTCCCAAAATTTATAGTGCATACTGGAGTGATTTAGACATTTTGGTAATAAAGACAGAAAAAATGTCATTTACTCTTCATATAATAATCAAAAAATTTTCTAGTTCTGCCAATTTTGCCAGATAATAATCAAAAGAACTTTCTAGTTCTGCCAATTTTTGCAAGATAATAATCAAAACAACTTTCTAGTTCTGCCAATTTTTGCCAGATAATAATAAAAAAACTTTCTAGTTCTACCAATTTATGCCATTGCAACTTTATCAGGACTAGTTCTACTAGCCCTGATAAAGCTACAATGGTGAAACGTTGGCACAAAATAAGAAGTTTTTTATTATTATGTGAAGAGCAAAGGTAATTTTTTCTCATCTTATTATTTTCTAAAGTTCATGAATTACTTTATTATTAACTTGATTGACACTTATTAATAGAAACACAGTATTTATTTTATCAGTTTAAATTTATTTAAAAAGATGAAACCTCACTTACTCAAAAACCTTATGATGCAAAATAAAGTTCTATTCACACATCTTAATGTATGTGTTGATTTGAACAGTCAGTAAGCTACATATATTGCATCGTGACTTTTGTATAAAACGCAATAAAGCAATAAATTAAGAGTTAATGAGAAGAATACCTGACACTCACTTATTACAGCAAAATAACATTTTAACATATTTCTATGAAACAACAAAAATATATCTGAAACAAGGTTTGATATAATTTTGATGCTTGTACAAAAACAAAATCAATGAAAAGTATTTCAGATATTGCTTTAAACACATCCTAGATTTTTACTCCAAATTAAACTTTTCCTATGAATAAAAATGTGTATGTATTTGCATATCCTTTCAATGGAAATTCAAGTTTATGGTCAAGAAGAGATGCACTTTGGAAAAATATGTTTTCTGATTATTACTTTTGTTAGCCTTTGGTATTATAATGCTATCATTTAATAGCAAAATTTTATATTTCTGTTATGGTAAATTAACTTCATCAAACTACCAAGTTTCAAGCTATATCACATGTACTAGGATGGGTATATTTTGATTCATTTACTAACAGGTGAGTTAACACACCAGAGTTATGATTAGTATACACTTAGTAATATGCAATCAAACCTGAAAGATACAGGAAAATATTTTGAAGTAATATTTTCTGTAGTTTTATGCTGTATTTTAGTTCATATTATATATATATATATATATATTCATAACCCATACATACCTTGTACTCTAAAATAAACTCTACAACTTTCTGGAGATCTTTATTTAGTAGAGATCTTTTCATTTCACAGCGTAGCAAGTACTGCAAAAAATAAAATAATTCCTGCGTTTCCAATTGCCAGCATAATCGTATAAAAATGCAAATCAATCATACAAAACAAAATTTACTTCTCAAATGTAAATTTAAATGTATTCTGAAAACCTGTCTGTAATTATTTGTTGAAAAGACTAATATATTAAAATTGTTAATACTTCACAGAAAATTTTAGCTAATTTAAACAAGTTATTTAATCACATATCATTTCTGGTGAAATTTTAATATAATAAGTTACTCATATTTTTTTACAGGGTTAATTATGCTCACACAATATAATATGTACTATAAAGACATGGAAATTTACCTGAATATTAATAAACACACCATGATATGTTTCATAGAGACATTTGTTGCTCTTTGGCTTCAAAGGAAATTCAAAAGGAATTTCAGTTCTACCAGAAGGTAATCTTCCTGGTTTGGCTATCTCCAAAATACAGTGGATAAGTTGAATTGGCTTTAAAGTAAAATATGTACATGATCATATTTAGATGAATGGCCTATTAATGAAAAAGAAAGTATATACAGGAATATTTTATACAATATTAACCCATCATTAAAGTAATTAATACCAAGATCAGAGGTAATTACAAGTTTCTGATGTAACAGTATGACATACAAAGTCTATACAAATTACTGTAAAAAATTACAAATACAAAATGTGCATTATTTGATAAATTAGAAATACTAATATATGACCCATGAAGAACTAACATTTCAGTTATATTGGTCTAGGGAGTAAGAAGTGTTTAACTACAAGAGACTAAGTGTTACAAACTAGCAAGCCCTAGAACCATAGGTGCTTTAACCAATTTTATAATGTGTTTCACATGCTTTTGTTGCAATTTGAAACAAGTTTGGGTTAACAGCAAATTAACTCAACCTTTTCATGCTTTGATAGTGCCACCTATGGTTCCAAACTTTTTGAACACTCTGTATGAAGATTATTTTTAAATACATATTTTATAATGCTGGATTTTTGTTATTTTACGTACTAACAGAAGTGCATTCTTACAAGCTCTAACATAGGAAAGGTATTTCATTTATAACTGTATTTGTTAACTGACAAGTACTTACCTTAACAGAACTATAAAATGCTTCAAATATTCCAACATTTTTGGCACTTAACTGCATTGAAACATTTCCTTCTATTGACAGGGCAATCCCTTCATGCTTTACTTCACCTTTACTGTCAATCACTACAACTCCAGTTACATATTCCTGCAAAATAGAAACCCATGTTTATACATGCTTGCAAGTAGCAGAAATAAACAAAAAATAATTAAGTCTAATAACTTTGTACAAAAGAATGGTCAGATAATTTGTATTTAAGGTTGAAATAATTATTAAAAATGTATTATTATTATTATCATATAGATAAATTTGT